TGTGAAAGGGTACCTCCACTCCCCTGGGCCCTGTCTGTCCTGTCTGTGAGGGCAGATGCTGGAGCTACTATGTCCCCTGTGTGGCTGAGGCTCTGCTGGGCAGCTTCTAGAAATGTCTTTATGCCATGGCACCTCTCCAGCTCCAGAGGCCTTCTGGAAGTTGGGACTAGGGCGGCTGGTGCCCCCCACCTTGGGCCCAGGATTAATAGCATCTATTCAAATCTTCTGTTCCCTCCCCACCAAGACATTACCCTTAATCCTATCCACAGACGGCTGCCCAGAGATCTCAAGACATCGGCCTCAGGCCACACAGCAGACACTGGCTTAGCCCTATTCTAACTGTAAATTCGGGCTCCACCATGCAGGCCCATCATTCAGCCACCCACAACCTAGTATGAATTTGCCAACCTGCAGTCTGAGGCTACACATTGCTTGGGCAACCCCTTGCCTAGAACCCCAGTGCAGCAGAATTCGGTACCTCCATAGGACAGAGATGAACCCCTGGGGTAGGATGTGAGAGCCCCTGGAGGCCTGACTGGATGCCCACAGCCCAAACCCCAAACCCCAGAGAGCCGAGGCACAGAGAGATCCCCCACTAGTGGCAGGCCGGCTGCCTGGGGGTGCTACCCATCCTCTCCAGTGGGGCCTCGGGGCTGCTAGGCTGTACAGTGACTGCAGGGGGAGCCACAGGCCCAGCCCAGCCCAAACTAGCCCCAGCCACCTCGGTGGGCTCCTGGCAGCAGGGTGGGCTGGAGACATCTGGTGTGAGAGAGTCGGGCAGGAGGGGGTCAGGCCACCGAGTGTCCCTCCCCTCCCCGTTCACCCCTTCCCTTGTGACTTTTGGCCCTTGAACAGATGGCAGAGGTGGGCGTGGCACAGCTCGCCTCACACGAGGTTACCACACCCATGAAATTCCCCATTAAGGGGGAAGCGAGGAAGTGGTCTGTTCACGGGCCAGTCCTCCCAGGCTCTTCTTACCATCTGACCACCTCATTAGGGCTCCCTGAGGAGACCCCTGGGGTCACGGGAGTCTCTGTGCCCCTCCTTTAAATAGCCCCCAGGCCTGGAGGAAGTGGGGGCCTTTCATATGTAAACAGGAGAGCTGACCTGGAGGAGTCCACTCTCCCTTCCTTGATCTTCTTTCTAGAAAGCCTGCAGAGGCCAAATGCCAGGTCCCCTGCTGTCCTGAGGTGGCCATATGATGCCTGGGGGGGGGGGGGGGGATGATAACAGGGCGGGAACGGAAACCGGTTCCCACACCGCCCACACTTGGGAGGCATCAGAGCCCAGGAAGGATCAGCCCACGGATGCCCGGAACCCCGTCAGTCATTACTTGGGCCCGGTGCCTTGCCCTGCCTGGGCCTGTGCCTTCTGTGAAGAATGCAGCCACACATGCCTTCCTGCAGCTCCTTCCTTCCTGCTGAGCACCAGGCCTAGGGCTAGCCAGCGAGTGGTGTGGAGAGACTCTGTTCCCCTTTTGACCCCTGAGCTGTTAACATCTTTGTACAAGTGCCTGGAACCTTCTGAGCCTGCTCCCGGTAGGAGAAGGGGTTCTGTGTGAGGATCAGTGAGTCCCATGTGGGAAATGCTGGGCACAGGCACCCATTATAAGGATGCAGCAGAGGCCCAGGGCCTTGGCCGCCTTAGTCCAGCCTGTTCAGGGAAGCAGAAGAATCTGCTCAGCATTCTGGGCTGGCTGACCTTTCCCTTGCTCCCCTCACCAACCCCCGCCCTGACACACCTGTGGGTGTAATAAATATCACACTTGATATCAGGGCTTCCGCCACCCGCAGGGTCCTGCAGCTTTGTTCCTGTCCTTTGGGGGTCTCATCCTCCAGAGGTGCAGAAAGGAAAAGGGGTGTCCTGGAAGGAGAAGGCAGAGGGAGGGCCCTGCCTCTGCTGATGCCTGGGACCCTCCCTTCTTGGCACAGCCCTTAATGAATGTGATGGCTATGAGCTAGAGGCCTGCAGGGCTTTCCTGGTCCACATGGGCTCGCTGAATCCTCAGGGCAGCCTAGAATGTGAATGTGATTGGGGAAGCTGAGGCCCAGGTACCGGTGATTCCGTTCGCCAAAGCTCTGCAGTTTGGGAGTGAGACGCCAGATTAAGGGCATGCGGTTGGTCTGGGAGCCCTGTGTCCTGCGTGGCCTCAGCAGCAGCTTCTCTGTTGAATAACTACACAAGTGACTGACAGCTGCCTCGAGGGTCCCCAGGGAACCTTGAATAAAGCAGGCTGGTGAAGAAGTGGAGGCCTGTGCTGCCCAGGGCCGCTGGGTGACCTGCTTGAAAGACAGCCAGTTGACCTGTAGCAGTGACCTGCTGGGGTCAAGGCAGCCTCCCCTCCAGATCCCTGCAAGGTCCAGGGGCACATGGGAGCTCACCGATCTGCCCTTTGCCCTCTGCCCTCTGGGGCCCTGAGCCAGGGCTGTTGGGGGGGGGGGCGGTCACTCGACAGCCACTCTGTCTGTAGGCCCTGGGGATATGCCCTGCTTGCCCTGGACAGAGATTAATGTGGTGGAGCTGGGGCCAAGGGTCAGGGCAGCCTTGAGGCACCAGGGCTGAGGGTGGCGCCCTGCCATGTCCCAGGTGGCCAAGAGGGCAGGGTGGGCCACAGGGAGGGGCAGCGGGGAAAGGCTCCACTCCACCATCTGGTCCTCCCTCTGTAGGGAGGTCTCCACTCCCCTGCCCCCCCCCCCCCCCCGCAACAACGGCTCAAATGGCCAAGCGACAGGGAGACAGATGGCAGCGGCTCACAGGGTAGAGGGTGTACTTTGTTCGGAGGCACTCACAGGCAGAAGAACACACGTGCACACATGAGTGTGAGCACACATGAGGTACCACACAGAGGCCTGTGTGATTCCTAGAAAGGTTGGGGAGGGTGGGCTTCCGAAGAGCCTTTGGTCCAGACTCTCCCTAACACATATAACACATATCTAACACGGATGCACGTGCGCATGCCTAGATCTCCAGAGGCACATGCACAGATGCACGTTCACAAGAAGCACACACATGAGCAGCAGTGTGCAGACATATGCACAGAGATTCACACTGGTGTTTGCACAGCGTACGACTCAGCACAGAAGTGTGGTGGCCATGCACACATGACCGCAGACCCAGGTGCACAGTGACATGCATGCACAGGCCAGTCTCGCCCTTCAGAGCTCTCCACCCCCCTGAAGAGTGGCTCCACCTGTTCCCCACCCACACTCTTGACACCCACACTGTACCTGTCTGCCCTGGAGTGGCCTGCAAGTTGCCTTCTGCTACCCTGCTGTTCGGCTTCCTCCCTTCAGCATAGGCTCCCGCTGGTAGACTAGTGGGGGTCTTGGTATCACCGTGTCGCCGCCCAGTTCCTGGATTGGGCACCTTATTTGTTGAATGAGGGAGAGATGGGCAGGCACAGCTAGCTCAATCTGGCCACAAGCCACATGAGATCCACTGGCTGGCACGACACAGCTTTCCTTTCTGCCCAGCATCATTATCTAGACTAGGTCCAGGTGCCTGGGGGAAGCACTCCCTTGGCTTCCAGAAGGTTGGTCTGGGTGTACATGTCCGTCAGGGCTAGTGGGAGGCCAGTAATCCAAACCCAAGCCTCTTTCTGAGAGCCACAGGACCTGTGCTGGCCATCATGTACTCTGGGAGGACCCCAGGTCAGTATCACCAAGAACATGCTAACTCCCTGACTGCTGGGGTCAAAGGTCTCCTAATTTTTTTTTCTTAGATCGCATCAGGTCTGAAGGCTCCCTGAGGTGTTAAGGTCAATCATCAAATGGTCATGGGGCCTATCTAGGCCCTGACTCTGGGACAGGGAGGTGGGGTACAGTGTGTCATTGTGTTGGAATGCAGCCTCCAGTTTCCTTAGCATGTACTGTCTGCCGTTCATGCTTCTAGAACTCATTCCTAGAACCCTGTGGGTGTTCAGCTTTGCTTTGGGCTCTGCTCTTCAAGTCCCAAGTCTGGTCCATGCTGCTGCCCAACTCTGGTGGTTGTGATCCGCCCCCCCCATGGGGCACTCTGGTCCCCCTTGGGACCCACCTCCTCCCCAAGTCACGCAGGTCTCTCGTGCGCTGCCCTCCTGAGGCCTGTCTTCACAGGGAGCCTGCAGCCCTTCAGGCCGCTGCCGGCTGCACTTGGCACAAAGCGAAGCCGGTGTGTGCCATCGGAGCCGTGTCTTTGTGATGGTTTCTCAGATGAGCTTTTTTTTAGCCTCTCAGTGAAGGGATGATCCTGCTTGCTCAAGGAGACAGTTGGCAATGTCTGAACCTTCAGCTGTCACACTAGCTGGGTCACTGCCACTCTGTAGGTGGCGGATGCCTCACGGTGCTGTGGATGGACTGGCATCCCTCAGAGGGCCTTCTTGGCCTCGTTGCTTGGTTTTGTTTGTATTAAACAGGGTCTCATGCAGCCCAGGCTGGCCTTGTACTGGCTATGTAGCGAAGGATGACCTTGAACTCCTGGTCCTCCTGCCTCCACATGCTGAGCTGAGAGACCTGAGCCGCCATACCCATTTTATGTGGTTCTGGGAATGGGACCTAAGGCTTTGTGCCTACCGGGCAAGTCCTCCACCAAGTGAGCTGTGAACCCAGCCCTCAGGTGGCTTCTTGAGGGGGAGCAGAGCCATCCCTTCCGTCTCTGTGGACTGGAGACAGACATCATCCTGCAATGAGCATGGCCTAACCTCCCGGTGACAGGTGGCTCCATGTGCCCCTACACCATGGAAAACCTGCTTCCGGCACCTGGAGTCCTCCTTCCCAGGGAGACAGCCGAGTCCAGGTGACTCTGACCATTATGCTGTTCACTCCCTTCAGGATGAACAGGGGTCTTCCGGGCAGGGTGGCCACCTCTGCAGCACTCAGGACCCTGCTAGGCCTGCAGAGCAGTGAACTTCTTAGGAGTATGGCTCCAGCCATGTGACCCAGGCTAGTTTCTCCACCTCTCGGTGGCTGCTTTCCCAGCTGTGAAACTGTTTGTGCAACCAGTTGACTGCTGGCAGTGCTCAGAAGGCCAGAGGAGGAAAAAGGAGCTCCGTGCTGAGATCCCTGCCTGGCCTCGGTGGCGGCTGTATAAGCACCATCACTATGACGGGCAAAACTTGATTATCGCAGGAAGGGAAGCCTGCTAGGAGAGGTAGGTAATGTACTCGCTGCGGGATGGCCCATGCTGATGGAAGCCGAGGCCGGTCACATGATCATGATGAGCTACTGCCCCATCGTCTCACTGTCCACCACCCACCCTCCCTGGAATGGAGAGTCCTTGTGTACCTTCCAGGTCCCCAACCTTAAGCTCTGGTTTCATCCCTGAGGCAGAGATGGAGCCCATAGGAGCCACTGGCAGCCACAGGAACTATGGTAGCCAAAGCCCTCCTTGGCTTTCGGTGCAGAGTGGCGCTGGGGGAGGCCTGGGGCTGAAGCAGAGGTGTTGAGCCCCACAGCTGGTCCAGACAGCCGGGCGTCATGTCTGGTGGAAAGATGAAGAGATGCGGGAGATGGCCCAGTAGCAGGAGGAGCCAGGAGCTGGGGCTTCTGGGATTCAGCAAAGGGCAAAGGTCGTTCTTCCAATTAGACAGTGTCCAGGCATTGTGCCCCCACCACCTGACTTCTATAAAGGGGGGTGGGGGTGGGTTGGCAGTTCCTTTAGCTCCCTGCACACAAGTGCACAGAGGTGCACATGCTATGCGCGCACACACACACACACACACACACACACACACACACACACACGGACAACTGCAGCTAGGCTTTGGATGGGTTGAGACCCTGTGTACTGTGACTGACTTCTAGGGGCTAGAACCATCTGGAGAGCCATGTGGGGCCCACTTTACAAGCAGATGTTTCAGGTGCAGGAACAGAGGCTAGGGATCTGCCCTCCCCCAGGGGTCCACCCTCCCCCAGGCCCAGTGAGCAGTCCTCTGGCGCACTTGCCCCCTCCCTGCTGGGGACTTCCTCACAGGCACAGGTGCAACCTGATGCCCACAGTGGGGCTCTTGCAAAGCCTTTGATTCCTCAGACTCCCCTGTACCCACATGACATACACAGGGGAACCCAGATGCTCGCTCTATACAAGTCCTTGATCTTCTCAGCTCTGACTCTCCGGAGGGGTCCAAGGAGGACCCCTTGTTCTGAGTTGCCTGGCATGGGGGGGGGGTTGTCCTTGCTGGCTCTCCTCTCAAGGGCAGCAACCATGTGGAGCATCTAAAGGCTGGCCCCAGGTGCAGCCGCAGCAGAAACCATGGCTTTCAACCTGCCCCTGCAGCCATCAGCATGGGCAGGAACAGCTGGTGAGCATCGCGGGGAGGTGAAGAAGAGCATGGCCACCTTGAGCATGCCCAGTGGCCGTCCCCAGGTCCCTCTCGGTCACAGGTGCAGGCCCAGATCCTGTTGAGTGAAGCTGTGCGTGGCGGGCGGCTGGCAGCGGGCTGCCGAGGCTTCTAAAGGTAGCAGCCATCTGCACTGTGATAAAAAGCCCTGCGGATGATAAATAGACAAGTCACACTTTTATTGGATTGCAGCTTGGGAGCAGCCACTTCGGGTTTGGCACAGTGTTAACGACAGATTTCTGCTTCCTTTGCAAGGCCTGGCCTCGAGGGGAGCGTGCCAGCCGTGGTGGCCCTCTCCGGGTAGGCAGGAGGAGGAGCTGACCTCAGCCGCCCCTACTTCCATCTCCCAGGCAAGCCTGCTCCCCTTCACTGCTCCCGAGCTACCTCTGGAGGCTTCTACAAGGAACTTGCAGCCGACACTGAAGTCATTGTGGCCCTTGGACAGGTCTTCTGACCTCTGTGTCTTGACATCACATCTGTAGGATGGGCTCACTCACTACACTGACTGCTTCCCAGACCCCAAATACTGGTTACTGTGGCATTTGGTGCCATTCCTGGCATACATATGGTAAGCATTATGTCACCATAGCCCCCTCATCACATTGCCAGAGAGCCCCGTCCCACTGGACCTGGAGTCCCACTGTTTCGGGGTCCATTCTAGGAGTGGCTCATATCCCAGGTCTTCTCCACTGTGGAGAGCTCTGGTGGGGCCTCCTGCTTCTGCCCTGGACTGTGAGAAATGCCCGGGGCTGATGCTCAGCACCTCAGTCTCCAATTTATCAGTGGGGTATAGGATGGAAGCTACATCAGTGTTGAGGGGCCGGGGGGACGGGGCAGGCTCCCCAGGAGCAGAAGGCATGAGGTGTATGTATCTGGCATTGCTAATTGTCCCTCCTTTGGAGTCAGTACTGGGTCCAACATAGATAACAAGGCTGTGATGAGGTCCTGGGCAGATGTGAGGGGCGTGGTATCTGGGTATGAGTAACCTTCTCTGGGGCCAGTTCTCCACCGGGTGGTGGTCAGGCCTACAGGCTGAGCTCGGCTGGAGCCATGTGCACAAGGCCCGTGGAGGCACTTTTCACAGTGCGGCGCCTGCTCCTGACCTCTGGCATCCACACCCTTGGCAAATAAACATGTTGCCCTGAGCCTCAGTTTACTCCTCGGGGCCATCTGCACCGGCCCTCCTCAGGCTCACTGTCCTCACTGCAGGCAGGACCTTGCAGTTCTGCTCAGGGGCAGCCTCCCTCCCTCCTCATCCCTCCAGAGCTATAACTCCATGGCAGGTGCCCTATGGGCTGTACAACCTTTATCAGCTTCTTGTTTCAGCCAAGACCCGCAGTGGGTCTCTGGGTAGTGTGGCCCCGGCCCTGCCCCCCCCCCCCCCCCGTCTGAGCCCCTAAGTGACACTCAAGCTCCTCAGGACCTTGGTGGCCGGGCTGCCTACTCTGCCACCAGCACTAGGAGCCTGGTGAGCAACATGCAGCCCCCACACTCAGGCGCCATGCTCCCTGTAAGGATTCTTCTTGGTGCTAAGGGGAAGGCCCAGCCAACAAAGTGCTTGTCATGCAAGCATGAGCAAGCCTTTAATCCCATCACTGGAGGCAGACCAGGGAGGTCTCTGAGTTCGAGGCCAGCCTGGTTTACAGATGGGATCCAGGACAGCCAGGGTCACTCAGAGAAACCCCGTCGTCTGAAAAAAAAAAAAAGACAGAAAATGTGTCAACCTCTGGCCTCTACACACATGTACATACACACACACACACACACACACACACACACACACACACCAGCTTCAGTCATCATAGGGTCCCAGTGGCTCAAAAAGGCCCCAGAAGGGGGTTCACATAATCACATAAGCTTATAGTGGTCAAAAGCTGGGGCACCCAGGTACAGGATTCAAGTCTCAGCTCTGTTTATTTGACCTTGGTCCAGGCTCCCCGCAGACTTCGGTTTTTTTCACCTGGAAACTGCAGCTGTAAGGGCATCCTGTGGGGACAAGGACCTGGGATAGGGGTGGGGTCCTCAGTGCCTGAGTTCTGTCACCTCCACAGTAGCCCTGAGCGTGATATATCTTCCTCAGGGCTGGATAAGGTGACCCAGACTCGTGGGCTCCACCCTCAGATCATGCAGGGTTCTGTGCTGAGACAATTAAAGTCCCGTTGTTCCCATGTCCTCCCCGCCCCCCCACAGGCATCCCCCCCCCCCAAGTTCATGAAATACGCAGAGGGACACAGAAGGAAACTGAACAGGGATTTCAGGCTCCCACATGCCTCCATAGACACAGCCTTCAGTCCATAGCGTCTGTTCTCAGTAAAGGCTCAGAGTTGCACAGCTTAACCTCCATGCTCTTGTGGTGGGTCAGAATCCCAGCATGGACACCTTGGAGCCTGCTGTGGCATGATTGACAGGCTTAATGGTAGAGGGTGAGGTTGCGGTGAGCAGAGGTGGGAAGCCTAGTGGCTGCCTGAGCTGACCCCCTAGACGGGGCCGTCTGATTTTCCTGCCTGCAGGAGCTCCGTGACGGCCGGCACCACTGCCTTTTTAGGAAAGCCCTGGATCCTGGCTGAGCATCCAGGCCTCCTTGTGTGAAATGTGGGCATGGGCTGGCCCTCAGCTTCTGGGACTCACTGGCCTTCTGGATCTGTCTGGAAACTCTCCAGGTGACATGGATGCAGAGTAGAGAACCTGCTGTCCTAAAGTAACCGTCGGGCGTGGGGTATGGGCATCCCAGACAGCTACAGCTGCAAGGCAGAGTGGGAAGGGGCATTTATTGAGCATCTACTGTGTACCCAGACATATGGCAGCACCATGTAGTGAACATGTCATCCAGAGAGATGAAGTGAGGAATCCAGTGGGGAGATCCCCCACCACCATCCCCTTCTAGTACTTTCTAGGAGGGCCAGCCCCAGACCTGTGGCCATTATCTCTCCCTCTTGCCTGCCCATCTGAGCAGAATTCTTCATGCACACTGGCAGGGCTGTGGAGGGGCTTCGGGGCAGTGCTGGCGACCATCCTGGGCTGCCCACCCCCACGCCTTGAGGCCTGGGCAGGAGCCCAGGGCGGTTTGAGGGGGAAGGGCGACAGCAGCTGCTGCCAGCAGGTGAGCCCTGGCCTCTCCTTGGGCCTCCTGGAGAAGCCTAATGAAGTGCAGCTGTGAACTCCGGTTTTGGGTCAGGAAGGCAATATCTCATCTCTCCACGCAGCAATTGAGTGGAGATCCGGAGCCTTCTGCCTCCCGGTGCCCCAACCCTTGGCAAACCGGAACGCTGCTCAGGGGCTGTCAATATTGACTCTGCGGAAGGCAGGTGGCGGGGCGGGCCCGAGCCAGGCAGGAACCGGAGCCCGAGCTACCCCAGGGGCCCTCGAGGTGGGAGCAGGGAGCAGCTGGCCGGGTGCCTCTGGAGGACCCAGGCTGTTTTTCCTCTCGTTTTAATTGCTCTTGGTGACTCTAACGGCAGCCGATTCACCTAGCGGCGGCGGCAGCAGCGTACTGGCTCTGGCCCCTGCCGCGCACCACATCTGAGCCATTCAGAGGCGCCAGGCAGCTGTTCCCAGCCTAACCGCCTTTTCCGGATGGTTCCTGGCCTGGAAGGGCCGGGGTAAACAAAGCCAGGGGCGGCTGGGAAACCAAGGACCTCCCTGGGACAGTGGCCAGCTGCTGGCCAGGCTCAGGAGGCATGAGGGCAGAGCGGAGGAGCCCTGGCTTCCACAGTAGGCAGTGGTCACCACCCTGCCACACTAAGCCAGTTTCCCTACAGCCCACAGGCGGTCAGCACTTGCCAAGTAGGAGAGATTGGAAATTTGAGCAAGCAGCAGCAGCAAGCCCCACCCCGTCTTGTGTAATCAAGGCTCAGGAGCCTGTTAGGCTTGTGTTCTGCTCAGCTGGGATGTGTTTAATGAACATCAGTGGCCTCTGAGGATATGGCCAGGGCTGGTCGTGCTCTAGGGGCCAGCATGCCTGGTAATCGGGATAGCTGCTGTGTGATCATAAAGAGATTGCTTGACTTCTCTGAGCCTAGCCTCCCCCCCATGAAATATAAGGGTTGGAAGAGCCACTCTGATACTTTGTTATTGCCTTAGGATGGCAACTAAGTTTATCCCAGGGGGAATGAGACATAAATTACTATGGGGCCTCCAGCCCTGCAGATGCAGCTCACCAGGGCCCTCAGGGTGGCCAGCTCAGTCCCAGCCCCGAAACCTTCCCCTCCAGCCCAGCCCAGCGAAGCCACGTTTATTTCATGATCTGCTCACTTGTAGATGCCTTACATGTTTTTAAAAGCCAGGTGTGGTGGCACACACCTGTAATCCTGGTACTCGGGAGGCAGAGGCAAGAAGTTCAGAAGGTCAGGGGTCATTCTCAATTATAGAGAGAGTTCAAGGCCAGCTTGGGCTCCCCAAGGCCTCCAAAAAAAACCAAACCAAGCCAGGTTTATCCAGAGCTCAGGGGTTGAGCCCTTGCCTGAGATGAGACCCTGGGCCCATTCCCAGTGTGGAAAAGACAACGTGATTATCAAGATCTCACCTTCAGGCAGAGGACCCATAGTGAGTCCTGTCAAAGCTCCCACAGCCACAATGCACATGTCCCTACCCAGAGCACCCTGTTCTGTCCCTTTGGGGTTCCTCCACAGCCCCCATGACCCCAGGTCTGCTGCTGTCCCTGGGGTGACTCTGGATGGGAGCATTCCATGTGAAGCTATGCAACAAGTGTCTCCCGTTTTGAAGACCGGAGGGAGGTCACATGTCTCACTGGTTCCGGTGCCAGGCTGTTCTCAGTGCTGGCTGCCCTAGCTCCTTCCTCCTGATCCCTGTCTGTCCCCACCTGACACCTGAGTCTGTATCAGGTTCGACCATGGCCAAAGATGTGTCTTTGTCCCAGTCAGCAAATGGCAGCCAGCACAGACAATCAAAAGGATGGGTGTGTGGAAACAAGGTGCCACCCCGGCCTGGCAAGGTCCTGCAGTGGCAGCCAGTATGTGAGAGTTGAGCCCTTCTTCCTCCGTGACCTGACTGTCCTGTGGCCTGACCTGACTGTCCTGTGGCCTGGCCAGCCTGTTACCTGTTCACCCTGTTGTCACAAGCCTTGACATGTGGGCAGTTGGCTCTGATCCATCACCATGCTCACCCTCTGGCCTGGAGCTCTGGTGTTTGCCAGTTCCGGAATCACCTGGGGACGGACTAAAAGCTGCTGGTGCCCAGGCCGCGTCCAGGAATGCTGAGTTGATTTGGTCCTGTGGCCGAGCCACAGGGGCTTCTCAGGCCCTTGGGGGTGCTGGAGCTACTGGCCTGCAGACCTCAGATTTCCCTGGAAGCCCAGATGGATCTCTGGGTTCTGTTGTAGGGAGCGTCTTCCTGCGGCTTCCACAGCTGAAAATGCAGATGTCCCCAATCAAAAGCCTTTGGCTGTCCCCTCCCGCAGGCCATAAAAGCCCTGAGCTGGGGCCTTTAGGTGGACATCCCAGAGGTGTCCATCCCCACCGCACTGTGGGGTTTTTATCCTGTTTGTTTTGTGAATAAGCATTTGCTGAACGTGTCCCTTCTGCTATAGATCTATGCTCTGGAGTGAGTTCGGTACCAGGTGAGTGGGAACCCCTGTAAGGGGGCTGGGGTACCCTTGTGGGGACATGGGAACTTCCTGCCCTTGGGGCTTGTAGTCATCCCCAGCAGATCCCATGCTCAGCCAGTCCACTGACACACCCAATGTAGGGCACAGGAAAGGAACACTGTGGGACCCAGGAGCATGATGAGACAGGGCTTCCTTGACCTAAGATTCCATATGGAAAATGGAGAAGGGGCTGACAGCTACAAAGCCATCCTTTCTTATTCCCATATGGGAAGAAAGTTCTCGATGTGGGCATCAGTGCATCTGGCAGGGGCAAAGGGAAGCCATGTGGGGAGTTCTGCCTTGGTCTCCCAGAGTGTGGAGGCCCTGGGTCCCTTGCGAGCACCCCCCTGCTTCGTTCCTACTGAAGACCTTGTACACTGGGTGGCTGGAGCGTGTGTGAGTTCCCACACTGCCCAGACAGTGTGCGCTAGCATTCGGTGGTGTTAGCCCACTCTGGGAGGGACAGAAAGTGTCGCCAGGCAGGGTGAGGTACAGGGCATGGTGAGGGCTCCCTAATTTGGGGGCAAAGGTAGAGGTATGTAGGGGCAGAGTCTGTCAGTGAAGACTGGGGGCTGAGGGTGACTCTTGAGCCCCATTTATTGAGGGCTGCGGCAGCTTGTGTCCTCCCATCTCAAGGCTGGGGGCTTCTAAGTTAGAGTCCTAAGCCCAGGGGAGTCCCACCTCTATATTGCCTCTGCCTCATTCTCTAGGCTTTTACCCCATCCTCCCCTAGAAGGCCCTCAGATGTACCTCTGACCCAAAGGGGCACTAGATGGACCCTCCTTGCCTAGAGCCCCTCTGGCCATCCCCATGTCCCTTGTTCTCATTTGGGAAGTCTTCGTGGGATGTTGGCTCTGCCTCTAGCAAACTCAGCCTGGATCCCATGTGCTTCTCTGGAGACCCCCAGTGCCACTTGTTAGCATCCTCGGCCTTCTCTGGAGAGGCCAGTGTTGCTGCCCTATAATGCTCAGTGCTGGCCTGTGCGCTCTAGGGGGGCCATGCTGACCTCTGTGTTGTCTGTAAGTAGACAGCCATTGCTCTCTATCTGGATACTCAGATAGTGTCCCTGAGTGTGGGTGGCCATCCTTGTGGAACTTTTGCTGGTCACCCTGGAGGCTCCATGCAAGGCATGCCCTTGAGGCTGCCCCCTGCTACTGGAGGGTCGGTAAGACCCCTGTGTGAAGCCAGGCACCTAGGACGGGTGTATGTCCGCTTCAAGGAGCTGTTGTGACAGTCTGCAGATCTGGGTGACTTCAGGCAGCCCACGCCTACTTGCTCATAGTCCTCAGGAAGTCTGGCATCACAGTAGTGGCAGCCTGTTCCCTTCTTGGGACTCTGGGCGAGAATCTGTTCCCGGCCCTTCTCCCAGTACTGGCGGCTGCTGGCCATGCCCAGCATTTCTTGGCTTGCAGACTCATCATGGCAGCATGGATTGCTGCCTCAACTGTCATGTGGCTTTCTCCCAGGTGGCCTCTTTTCCCATTCTGCCTCTTCTAAGGGCACTTGGGGTTAGTGTCTACCCAGTCCAGGGCCATTGAACTTTGAGATCCTTCACTTAATCACATCTGTAAAGACCCTGTTTCTAAATGAAGTCACAGGAGGGACCATGATGCCACCCACTACAATGCCAGGGGGAACTCTCGGGAAGCAGATGTTGGCTCCTCTCATGGGTTTTGTTCTAGGCAGGGTCACTTCCCCCCTGTGGCAGGGGGTAGAAGGGTGACAGATGCAGAACCCTGTGAAGTTCGGGTGGGGGGCAGGATTAATAGGGTGATTCGGGGGTGTGTCCAGGTGGTATGGAAAAGGTGTGGTGCATGCTTGTGTGGGGGTTCCTTATTCCCCACAGCAGCCCCCAGTCCTTCCATGCACATAAAGAAGCAGAGACTCTGATGCCAACACTGCCTAAAGCCACACAGTGTTGCAGGCTGAGGCTGAGGCTCAGGCAGACTCCACCTGTTCACACTCTGTTCACACTCTGTTCACACTCTGTTCACATCCATGCTGAGGGGTCCTGGGCTCTTAGAGGCTGCCAGGAACCCTGGGGCAGGGGTGGCTCCTGCCTGCTTAGATACCACACGTACCTGTGGTGTGACTCTGGCTCCCGCCACAGGCAGGGTAGGATCCTAGCTGTCGGCAAGCTGCTGCCCCAAGAGCTGCCGTCAGGGGCCAATGCTTCCCACACCGGGGCGTTGAAGTCTCCATTTCTTACAGGGTGGGAGGGAAGTGTGACCCAACATGGCAGGCAGCCTTCAACATGTACAGTCTCTGTCTCTCTGTCTCTGTCTCTGTCTCTGTCTCTCTCTCTCTCTCTCTCTCTCTCTCTCTCTCTCTCTCTCTCTCTCTGTCATATCTAAGGTCTACCAGGAACAGAACCCATGCCCTCACCTCCCCCAATCCTTCCCAGGTACCCATATGCCCTTTCTTGCTCTGGGTGTGACACAGACATGCACAGCATGTGGGTGACCGTCTGCCCACTGTGAGTAGATGCTCGTAGTATCCCAGTTTACAGAAAGGTATGATGGTGGCTTCCGGATCTCGGTGGTGTGCGTGGGCTGTGAAATAGGGTTGCTGGGCGTGGGTGGGCCCCCTCTCCACTTAGCGGGTCTCTGCCGCTTGGCCCATGGTGGTACCCCAATCCTGTTGAGGATCGTGGGGGTGAGAGGCAGGGTCGTGTGGCTCAGGACTCTTGCCTCAGATCTAGAGGATGGAGGGCCACAGAGAAGATGGAGATGGGAACCTACAGGGCTGTATGAAACAGGAGTGTCCCAGCCGCCACCATGGTCACCCCTGCTCCCTGGCCCATTCTGGAGCGCCGCCTCCAGCCTCCAGCATTTTACCCTGTCCTGTTCCGGGGACCCCCACCACCATCATCTTCCCGTTGTCTGAGTCTGTGACTTCTGCTCTGGTAGGAAAAGTGGCCCTACAGCCGGCACCTCTCTCCCCGCCAGAGAGGCCTGAGAGAGGAAGGGAAGCGCCCTCCCCCTCCACCACTGCCTTGCCCTGCCCAGGAACAGGCCTACAAGACAGACCAGTGCCCAGCTGGGACCTCACAAGGAAGGCGGCTCCCGAACAGGGACAGAAGATTCCCTCCCCTCCGCGTCTCAAGCATCTGCTCTAAGGAAAACTGCTGACGAGAGCCTGGCCAGCCCCAAGGCCCTGCCAGCTGGGCTGGAGGCAGCTGTGATAAATGGGTCTCAGGAGGTGTTCTGAGATCCGCTGCTGCTGGGGATGGTGAAGCCGCCCTGCCTCTGACCCCTGGAGAAAGGGCAGCCGGTCTGCCCCAGGCCAGGCCACTGTGGGGAGCTGACTTTTCACAGCCCGATAAACATGGGAGGAGGACTGAGGCTCTGTGGAGCTTACGGAGCAGAGGTTGGGGGTGCGAGAGGAGAGTTCAGCCCCACCTTCAGGGCCCAGAGCACAGCTGTGGCCTGGCCACAAATGCCAGGAATGCTGTGGCCCCAACCCTAGAGAGCACACATCTAGTCATGGGTTCTTCTCTTGACCTCTGAGATCAATGCGCTGCCCTTGATGTCACCCTGGACAAAATACAGCACATCTTTTTAAAAAGTTACTACATTTGTTAGTATTTAGTGTGTGTGTCTGTGTGTGTGTCTGTCTGTGTGTGTGTGTCTGTGTGTGTGTCTATGTGTGTGTGTCTGTGTGTGTGTGTCTGTGTCTATGTGTGTGTCTGTGTGTGTGTCTGTGTGTGTGTCTGTGTGTGTCTATGTGTGTGTGTGTGTGTGTGTCTGTGTGTGTGTGTGTCTGTGTGTGTGTGTATGTGTCTATGTGTGTGTCTCTGTGTGTATGTCTGTGTGTGTGTCTGTGTGTGTCTGTCTGTGTGCGTGTGTGTGTGTGTCTATGTGTGTGTGTATGTGTCTATGTGTGTGTGTCTGTGTGTGTGTGCGTGCGTATGTGTGTGTGTGTGTGTGTCTATGTGTGTGTGTGTGTGTGCGTATGTGTGTGTGTCTGTGTGTGTGTGTATGTGTGTGTGTGTGTGTGTGTGTGTGTCTATGTGTGTGTGTGTATGTGTCTATGTGTGTGTAACTCAGGTCATCAGGTTTGGCAGCAAGCCTCTTTATCCACTGAGCCATCTCACTGGCTCACTTAAATGTGTCTTGATGCCAGAACTTGGCCTTGGCTCTGTTCTGTGCTCAGAAGTAGGGCAAGGCTGGGCTGTTGGTCTGAGGACCGTGCACAGTACAGCCAGGTCCCCACATGACCGGGAGGAGACTGGGTGGCTTGGCCTCATCCTGTAGGCATCAAGCAGCGGTGTGACTGGGTGCAAGGCATGGTAACCAGGAGAGCATGGGTGAGGTGTCCCCAGGTGGGCCACTGCTCTGCTTTCCAATCCCTCTGATGCCAGTGGTGACTCCTAAGCATCCACTTAGACTCACTGTGAGCCCTTTCTGCACTCGGCCCCTTCATCCCCAAAGGCCCCTGGTCACCATTATCAACCTTATACATATTGAGGAGACTGGAGCACAGAGTGGCACTCCTCTCTTGGTTCTCCATACCCCTGTCTGCCTCGGCCTCCCCCCCAGCCCCTGCCGACCTGGCCCCTGGAGCTCAGGGGCTTAGGCAGGGGAGTGGGCCAGTTATCTCTGGGAACCCCAACTCTAGACACACAGCTGTGCTTCCCTGCTTGATCTTGGGGGACATTTGGGGAGAGGCCGGGCTCTGCCCTCAAGGAGTAGTGCTCAGGCCTCAAACGGAGGCCAGGACAGAACCTTGCGTCTATAAACACGTGCTGGAGTGAAGTCTGCGAAGAGCCAGACAGTGGGAGCTGAGCCCCGGTTTGCAGGGAAATGGAGTCCGCTGACCCAGCACCCCTCCCACAGGTACATGTGGGAGGGCTCACGAGGGTCTGGCTCTGCGTCCACTATCAGGGTACTCAGGGGAGCAAGGGCCACACTGGGCCTGGGGACGCATGAGGCCTGCTATAGGGCAGACCCTGAGAAATGCTGACATTGAAAGAGTGGCCTCTGTTCCCTGGACCCAGCCCCAACTAACAGCCGCCACTTCTGGGAATGTTTGGGAATTCACAGGCTGCCTCTGGACAGGCCGAGCCTAGCATTTGGGCTTGCACAGTCCTTATGGGGTACTGGGGTTCCCTATAGGCTGGGCCCCTGTTTAGAGATCAATAAAAGCACCCCAGGCTGGGATCCTGAGAACCCTGAGGGCCCTGCTGGCTCTAGGACCCAGTAGATTGACTATCCTCTGCACACACCCAGGGGTTCTCACTCACCCCAAAACGCAACCGGAGGGCCTGTGTGGTACAGCATCCCTACTCACTTGCCCTGGACATTGGCTCCCCTGGAACTGAGTGGTGTCTATCATTTACTTTTCTGGGGTTTTCAAGCCAAGTCTGTGCTGGCGGTAGAAAGGGAGACTTTCCCCAGCACAGGGCTGCAGAACCAAGAGAGTGCAATTCAGGGAGCATCCGACCTTCCCTAGCAGAGTCTGCAGCAGCAGCCCGTGTGGGTCCCTGCCTGCAGGCAGAGCCCTCCCTTAGCCCTGCCTGTTGAGGAAAGCCTAGAAGGTGCCGTCACACCCAGGGGCTCGCGTGTGAAGAGCAACTTCCACAACTGTCCTTGAAGGCCCCGGCTGCCATCAGGACATTCCCAACGTGCTCCAGGGAGCTTAAAATACAGGCTGTGGAGCTGCTCGTGTGGCCTGGAGGAATCTGGTGCCACCTTCTGGTTCCTGCCCTGTCCCTTTACCATCTGTGGCCAGAGCAAGAATGGTGCTTTGGCCGGGCGGAGTTGGCGCACGCCTTTAATCCCAGCACTCGGGAGGCAGAGCCAGGCGGATCTCTGTGAGTTCGGGGCCACCCTGGGCTACAGAGTGAGATCCAGGACAGGCACCAAAACTACACCGAGAAACCCTGTCTCGAAAACACAAAAACAAAACAAACAAACACAAAAAGAACGGTGCTTTGGGGGCTGGAGAGATGGCTCAGAGGTTAAGAGCACTGACTGCTCTTCCAGAGGTCCTGAGTTCAATTCCCAGCACCCACATGGTGGCTCACAACCATCTGTAATGAGATCTGGCATCCTCTTCTGTATAGATAATAAATGAATAAAATAATTCTTTAAAAAAAAAAAAAAAAAAAAGAACGGTGCTTTGTGCCACAGAGCTCAAAGGAGGAGGCTACTCTGAGGTCCTTCAATCCAGTGTGCCCATAATTCAGATGAGAACATCAAGGCCCTCTACAGGGGGAGGCTTGGATGAGGCCCTGGGAAGACTCTGCCCTCCTCCATGTATAGAGGAACCCACAACTGCCCCTCCGGGGAAGCCAGGCTGAAGAGTTGGTGACCCAGCTGCCACTCCTAGGAGCTTCTGGGAGAGTTCTTGCCAGGCCACAGACTCTGTAATCCCTGGTATCCTATTGGTGGGGTGGGTAGGTTGGCCCTGGGGTCCTACCTGGGGTACACCTTTCCTCAAGTTCTGGAGACATTCTGACCTCAGGGGAGGGGAGCTTCTCTCTGATAAGCCCCTCCCTCGGTCTCCAGCCCTCACCTGATTAAGGTACTCTCATGCTGGCTGAGGTACCAAGGTCCAGGCCAGTGCCCACCTAAGGACACCTGTGTTCCTACCCCTTGGTAGCAGTATACACAGCCCCAGGTGCCCACAGGACCCTCCAGGGAAGCCCAGGCCAGCCTCCAGGGATTCTGATGTCCAATGTCCTAGGACAGAGCACCCCTCCCCTACTGAGACCCCCATAACCTTGGGACTTTGGAGATGGAGGCCCTGGTGGGGTGGTGGAGTGGGTATTGCTAGGCCCTGCCAGGCATGGGGGTCCCAATGGGTCTAGTATGACCCTTGCCTAGAGTCCTCTTTGGAGGTGGGGGTGGGGTGGGAAACTGTGTATGCAAGCAAAAACCTGGTTTAATGGGAATCACCGTCCCCCTGCGATGGATCCCAGGGTACCCTTAGAGGCTGCTGTGGCACTCTCCCCTCCCCGGCCCCCACTCCACCTGCTAAGGTCCTCCTACCTCTTCCTGGCCCCCCCAGGTAACATCACTGCCCTTGCCTCTGGCAGCTCCAGAGAGCAGCAGCTCTCTCTCTCGCCTCCTCCCCACCCAGCTCTCAGGCTCCAGGCCACAGTGATTTAGTGGGTGGGAGGAGAGAGGCAGTTGGCGAGCCAGTGAGAGCCGGCATCCCTGCACTAGGTAGGAAGGGGAGGCCAGCATGGCCCCAGTGGGGGCCTGGAGCAGAGCATTGCAGCCCCAGGGAGGAGGCCATTCTGCGAGGGGGCAGCTGTCACTCAGGCCACACGCATACAAACACCAGGTTCCCAGAAGGAGGGGGGCACCCCTGCAGCTGCCCCCCCACCCCACCCCCCGGGCAGGGCTCAGCCCTAGGCCAGGCGCTCAGTGGGGGCAGAGAAAGGGAACCGGGAAAAGCCCCACCTGGCCCTGTCCCTCCCTCCCTCCTTCCCTCCCTTCCTCCTCCTTCTCCTCCTCCTCCCACTCCCACTCCCCCCTCATCTCAGATGGAAAACACAAAAGGAAAATGAGCCAGGGCCCAGGTCTGGGGAGCCCCAGCCCGCAGGCTTAGAATGAAAAGCGGCCCCAATTAGAGGCTTTGGAGCCGCCAGCTTGATGCTCTGTGGTTGAACTGACACTGCGGAGCCTTAATTAGCGGCGGTGGGGGAGAGGTCAGGACGGCGCGGCGGGCTTGACAAGCGTTATCAAGTGCACAGAGTGGGGCGGGCAGGGCGCCTGGGGAGCTGAGCAGTGACCAAGATGGGGCTGGGAGGGGCGGGGGGCACAGGACACAGGGACCCCAAGCCTTGGGGCTCCAGGCTGGCATCCTGTTCTGTCCTGTGGCACCCCACACGCGCAGGCATCTCTCAGTGCTGCGCCACCCCCATCTCCAGAGAGCCATAGGTGGCTGGATCCTAGCTAACTCCAAAGCACCTGCCACTCACTGTCTGGAAGCCTCTCATGGCGTCCTCTGGTCTCCGTCATCTAGGGTGGGCTGTGCAGCATGGTGGACATGAAGACCTGCTTGTCTCTACTCCAGGGTCTCAGTAAGTGCGTCCCCTGGGAGGGGAGGACAGAGACTTAAGCAGCCTTCCTAACTTCCCCTGCTTGGCACGCCTCCTTCTCCAGGCCAAGCACGCCTCCCCACACACCCCAATCCTCCTCAGCCTGTTACTCAGAAAAGCAAGCCGCCATTTATTTTGAACTGATAAATCTCCATCTGCCTGTGGCCCTCCTCAAGCCCAGGCCTATGGGTGGGGAAAGGGCAGAGGAGGCCACCTGGCCCCTGCTGAGCTGGAGTCCAGTGGCCTGTTGGCAATGAAGGGGTAGAGGTCACCCCCCCCCCAGCCTCTTGTACCAGGGACAAGGCAGCAGGCAAAGAGTTGGGGGTAGGGCATAGCTCTACCATCTTGACTGTGCAAACGGGGATGGTAGAGAGACCTTTGGCCTCGGCTGTGTTTCTCACCAGTCCTTGCTGTAGCCCCTCCTTCTGCTGGACCCTACAACAACAGTCCCCCCAGTTAGGTAAGGAGAGTTAGGAAGCATCACAAACCGGCGTCTATACCTTGGAGGGCTTAGCTGGACTCTGAGGCCTGGGGGCAGTGGGCTGTCAGGACGACTGAGGCTGGTGGGGCTGGGTTGGATGGTCACTAGAGTCACCAA